ACAGCTGAATAACGCACATGGGCTAGAAAAGACTGAAACAGGCTTTAGCTTTCCGAAGTTATTCCCCAGATATCATTCTGCAAAACACCATAGTTTTATACTCACAAAATTCCAACTAATAACAGGCTCTTAGAAAAAGAAATAAATGGAGGAGAGAGAAAATGGTACTTTTAGACGTAAGTATTCCAGAAGAAGGCAAATTTGGTAAGGTCAGGACTGGCTCTCACCGTGACTTCACCATGACTTTGCTCTCCATTTTTATGACTATTCCAGATGTTGTCACCTTCACAATGTATTCTTTACCCCCATCTCCTGAACTTCACCCACTCGCTCTCCTTCAGATGCCAAGGGTCTGCCTTTCTTAATGCTTATATGAACATACAGCAGCCCCGGTTTGGAATATAAAACTAAAAATAACAAGCATGAGTCAATGTGGAAGGCTCTTTTCCCTCCAGGGGCACATAAACCTCTCATTAAGAAGTTCAAGGAAGCTGAGAATGAATCAAAGAAAACAGAGTTCCATGAGAGCCACCTTCTATTAAATTGTACATGAAAGTGTCATTTTAGTCATAGTAGTAAAAGCCGGCTCTTTAAATTCACAATCAAAATGAAAATTCTTGGGCCAGAAAAAGAAGCTTAAAATATACCCCACCAGAGCAGCTGCAAAAATATATCGGTCCCCTCAATTCAAGGAAATCTCTTATTAGCACTGTCTAGAAGTCACTGAACTATACCAAAGGGAAAGATATCTATCCTAAGAACCAGAAAAAGTGAAAATAGTATAGATAGGGAGAACTGTATTACCACTTTAGATATTTTAAAAATAAATTCAATAAATTATATGCTGAGAAAAAGAGCACATCCTTTATAATAAAAGGCTAAAATGCAAATAGACTGAATGGCAAAACAACCAACCGGTCGCTATGACGTGCACTGACCACCAGGGGATGTGTGCAGAATAGGGCGGGCGTTGGCCACGGCAGGATGATGGAGCAGATGAGCAGGGGCACCAGACCAAGGCAGGGAGACAGTCACTGTCAGCGGGGTGAGCCCCTGGTGTTTATAAAAAATTCTTTGCTCCCCCACACCGTAGTTCTGCCTTGCGCTTGCACCCACTAATTGTGTCAAATCACTATAAATTTTCATACATTCAAAATCTTGAATATCAAACCACTAAAAGGATGGGCAATAGAAAGAATCAGAGCATGTCTTCCAGCTTTATACATAAAAATGCATCTCATTGATCCTTAAGATTCTACAAATATCAAGAGTGTACCTGCATATAAACGAATATATTATGTATACACAAATATATTATGTATACACAAAATCCAGAACATGGGGCATTCTAAACTCCGCTAAGTTGGTGGCTAGACAACCTTTTCCAAGTGCCTCAAAATGAACAAAAGGTCACAATATCCAGTGCCATAGAGGGCTCTCAGAAGAGATAAGTGACTCATGGATTCCCCTCAGCCATCTGAGCAGAAGCCAAAAGCAGAGATGGACTTATTTAGGAGAGATCTGTGAAGGAACACCTTGTCTAATGGACTGGATCGCTGGGACACACTGAGAAGACTCACCAGACTCTTTTTTGAGAATATTATACCAGCAGAAACAACACCAGCTCAAACTGAAGAGTCAGAGAAGACAAGATGAAAAAAGACAGACAGACTACCCAACTTTTACAGGAAAAAAACAGGCTGGAAAACGACTTAGTGCAAACATACACTTGCGTTTATGACAAAGGAAGGATGGCTCCAAAGGCAGAGCCTTAAGCCCAGAGCAGAGCCTCAGACCACAGGAATAATCACCAGGAAGTATTAGTTCCAAGCCTTGAAACCTAAAAGGTTCTTCCCAGTTGAATTTCAAAAGTGCTTCGGACCAGTGACTCTTTCCTTCTTTCCTTCCTTCATTTTCTCACTTTGGAGATGGAAATGTCTATAACTATCAACCTATGCCTGTTCCATCATTGTATTTTGAGAACAGGTAAATTGTTTCCTAGTCTCACCAGTCTTCAAATGGAGAAATTTTGAACCAGTATGGATCCTATGAATTTCGCCCATATCTGATGGAAATGATTTAGATGATGAGACTTCTATGTGATATGATAGATGACATTTTGGACTTCGAGTTGATGTTATAATGTAAGGCTTTAATCTTATTCCATGTATAGTAGGAATTTACAAGACAATTCCAAATGGCAAAGTGACACCCCCTAATTTACATTTAAAAAGACCTTTGGTTTGTAAAGGAAGGAAGTAAGAATGGAAGCAGGGAAACCAGTGAGAAAATAATTCCAGCAGTGTAGGCTAGAGAAGATAAGGACCCAGCCTACAATAACAGCAGGATGGAAAAGAGGGTAGATTAAAAATATATTTTGAAGGCAGAACTGACAAAATTTTCCAATAAGTTTAATGTGAAAGAGAATCAGAAAAAATATAGATTAATTCTTAAGTTAGAACTTGAGGAACTCAGTAGACTTCCGTTTATTAGCTGAGATGGAGGAGACTGAAGAAGGGAGATGCTCATGTGAAGAAATCAAGACTTGCCTTTTAGACAGGTCAGATTGTTCTAACAGATATCCAGGCAGTAATATTAAGAAAGTAGGTGAGTTAAGAGCAGGGAGCTCCAGGACAGCTCAGACCTGGATTTGTAAACTTGTGTGGCATTTAAAACAGAACCAGATAAAATCAAATAAAAACAGACAGAAAAATGACGTGAAGCCAGGACCAAACACATATTGGTACATTCCAATATGTGGAGGTCTGAATGAGAGAAGCCAGCAAAGAAAAGAAGGAACAGCCAGCCAGACAGAAAGAAATGGAGTGTCATGTCAGAGATGCCATTTTACCAGAACCACTGAGGCCAACTATAATTATTCTATTTTCTGTAACCTTCATATACTCTACTCTATAAAAGTCCATCTTAAAACACAACAGCTTTGGCATTAACTTTGAAAAGACTCAAATCCTTATGCAACCTCCATTAGAATAAGATACGGTACTGAATGCTGAGAGGCTATCAAGCAGTTTGGAAACTTTTCCATGGCGTGACTACAGTGGGATAATTTTTTTTTTTTAATTTTACTCACCGATTTAACTTTCTATAGAAAAATGGGAGAAAGAAATCAAGGCAAGGCGTGGCCTGAGAACTACCTGGAGAGGAATGGAGCTAGCAATAAAGAATAGCAAGAGGAGCCATCATGAAAAGGTGTGCTCACCATCTCACCCTATCCAGGCCGTCTTCTCCACCGCAGCTTTCTGCTCCCACTGTAGCTACAAAAGGCCTTCACCCATTTCGTTTTCCTCCCTCCTTGCTCTCTATTCTTGTCTTGATTCTCTCTTCATCTCACCACAGTTTTGATAACGTTTGATTCCAAAGACTTGTGCAATGCCTTTTGCTTCTCAAATATATTCTGTGTTTTAGAAGTTTTAGTAAGACAGGTAATAACTATAAAATTACATAAAGCTGTTTTATTAATTCTGGATGGACATATTCTAAAAGACTAAAAATGTTTGCGTGGAGGAAGCAAACAATGTATAAAGGTGTTCCTTCTGTCCCCCAATTTAGATAAGAAGCACTATTAACAGTGTGAACATCGTAATCCCAAATTTGACATTGCAGGGAACTGATTTCAATGTTCTCCTTTGTGGTAGCAGAGAAGCATGTAGGTAAGCTACACTTTATTATACAGAAAAGAGAATGTTTTTAAATGGCCAGCAATTGGGCCTCCCGGTGCTTACCACAGGCTGTGTGCTTATACTGACTGTTCAGAAATAGGAGGTGGAGTAAACCTACCCCATTTACACCTACACCATATACCCCATATACCTCAGGCTCTCTGACTGTATTGTGAATGGGGAGACACTGAGTCAAGGAGGTTTGGGATCTAACTTGTTTTCACTTCCCCTGGGCAAAGAGTAGATGGTGGCTATAGCTTTATTTGAGACATGGCAGTTCAGCCAGGGAGTGATTGTTGAAATAAAATATATAAAAAAATAAAAATAAATAAATGGCCAGCAATTGCAAGCAGGGACACACAGATAGGCTAGTATGACTGTGTCAAATTCACCTAGAAAGGATTTTTTCCCAGCACAGAAGCAGCTGAGGCTTTTCAGACCTGTTGAAGACTTACTGGAAACATGCGGACATCTCCCTGCCAGGCCAACCATACTCATGTACCACAGGTACCGACACCTCCACCAACCGAAATATTAGGGAGGGGAGTGCAGCTAGTTGGCCAGTCTCAGGAGGGCCAACTCACTATTCAAGAAAGATGCAAGAAAAAGGAAGTTTCTCAAGTTTAAAGAGAGAAAAGAATAGTAAATTTATGATGATTCACCCTGGGACCTCCCCAGATATATCTTTTCCTTTTTTTTTTTTTTTTTTCACACCACTTCACAGATCTGTTATCACTTGTAAGTGTGGAGACTCCCAAGTTTCTCCTGATCCATCCAAATATAGAGAATGCCTGGTTCCTAGCCTCCTGCCTAGGAACTGAATGGCCTTGCCCGGGGCCACCATGTTGAGCCACCCAGTTGCCTGGTGGTTCCTTCTAAGGAAGCACGGACAGATGTTGGTTTCAAAAGATGCTGTGGTCTTTGGACATGTTCCCGATTTGAATGTCAATAACTCCTCACACCTCTCTGATGGGGACAGTAACAGAACAGAAGTCAGTGGGAGATCAGCATGCACTCAGATTCCAGATTCTGAACGGGAACAAAAGTCATACCCTCCATTCTCTGCCTCTTCACTATGTCCAACAATGAACATGCTAGAAACCAGGCTTTCACAGCCCCTCAAAACTAACTACAAAGCAACAACTCCCAATATCCGCATAACAAGCAACTGCACTTTCTGGGTCCTCATGTCTGTAATACAAATAACAAACATTAATATTTATTAAATTTTATAATTTGTAAGCCTAAATTATCTGCCTTTTGTCATACACTGTGAAATGTTCATTTTGCATTTAAATATCCATGCAGAGCATTACTTACCTTTTCTAATACAGATAAGTTCATGCACTCCACAGGTTCTTTCTCCACCTTAAAAAAAAAGAAAAAAAAGAAAAAAAAGAAAGAAATATTGTTAGAAGTTAAGCACAGAAAATAACCTGACTTCATTTTTTTAAAAATATATTTTATTGATTTTGTACAGAGAGGAAGGGAGAGAGATAGAGAGTTAGAAACATCGATGAGAGAGAGTCATTGATCAGCTGCCTCTTGCACACCCCCTACTGGGGATATGCCCGCAACCAAGGTGCATGCCCTTGACCGGAATCAAACCCGGGACCCTTCAGTCCCCAAGCCAACGCTCTATCCATTGAGCCAAACCGGTCTCGGCATAACCTGACTTTAAACAAAAGGAATCCGAAGAGGACCACACCAAGACACATCATAATTAAAATGCCAAGAGCAAAAGACAAAGAGAGAATCTTACAAGCAGCAAGAAAAAAACAGTTACCTACAAGGGAGCACCAATACGATTATCAGCTGGTTTCTCAACAGAAACTATGAAGGCCAGAGGGAGTGGCAAGAAATGTTCAAAGTGATGAATAGCAAAAACCTACAAACAAGATTACTCTACCCAGCAAAGTTATTTAGAATTGAAGGGCAGATAAAAAACTTCACAGATAAGAAAAAGCTAAAGGAGTACATCACCACCAAACCAGTATTATATGAAATGCTAAAAGGTGTTCTTTAAAAAGAGAAAAAAAGAAGAAAGTAAAGATAAAAATTATGAACAACAAATACATATCTATCAACAAGGGAATCTAAAAGTTAAGTGAATTAAAAATCTGAGGAACAGAATAAACTGGTGAATATAATAGAATCAGGGACATACAAAGGGAGTGGATTGATAATTCTCAGGGGGAAAGGGATATGGAGGGTGCAGGAAGAGACTGGACAAAAATCATATACCTATGGATGAGGACAGGGGGAATTTTGGGGGGAGGTAAAAGCAAAGGGTGGAGGGGAGCTATTGGAAGGGGAGGGAAGAGAAACAATTGTAATAATCTGAACAATAAAGATTTTTTTTAAAAAAGAAAGAACCTGACTTTTTCACAAAGAACCATTTCAAATTAGCTTCTAAACATTAACTCAGGAAAAGCATTTGCTAATTCACTATATAAATATGATAAATCTAATATCGAGAATTTTCCTGAAGCCATAAATTAAGATTTTATAAAGTCTTAGAATTCATGGGGAAAATAAGACTTTTTTTGGGGGGAGGGGAAAAGGGGAGGGAAGACTAGCAATCTGAATATGTGCCAGTAACCTGCCTTCTAATGTACATTCTTGCTTGCCGATAATCAATTCCATTTGTGAAAGAATGTAGGAAGCTAGCAGCCTGCCTCTGTACCTAGTTCATCAATATCCCTAATGTACATTCTTGTTAGCTATAATCCTTCCTTAACTATCTGGTCTTGCAAGACCTATTTACCTAAATACTCCCATCTGAGAGGCCATAAACCATGAGCTATGCACCGCCCCCCGAGGGGTTTATCAGCGCTGGCACCAGGCCAGGCCTTCAGCTGTCATCTCACAGCCTCCATCCCAACACCTGGGGCTTTTTGCAGAGCCCTTGAAAGGTCCGGAAGTCTGATCCATATTTGGGGGACAAAGAAACCAAAGGGTATAAAGAGAAAGCTTCCTCCATATTGGGGGACTCAGAATTTGGAGAACTAACCCCGTGAGTCACTGTACCAGTACATGTGAAACATCGGAAAAGAAATGGGTTTCTCCTGAATCTCCAAGCACTCCTGTGTATTTTTTCAGTGGCCTGGTAAATCTTGTAGCAGAACGAAGAGTTTTGCTCAAGTATTTCTTTTAAATGGCAAGCTTCCCTAGAGCAGAAACATATCACCATTTCCCCAGCACATTCCTCTTCCATCATCTAGATTACAGTGGTTCTCAACCTTTCTCATGCCAAAACCCTTTAATACAGTTCCTCATGTTGTGGTGACCCCCAACCATAAAATTATTTTCGTTGCTACTTCATAATTGTCATTTTGCTACTGTTAATGAATCGTAATGTAAATCTCTGTGTTTTCTGATGGTCTTAGGCTCTACAGCAGCGGTTCTCAACCCGTTGGTCACAAGGCAAGACACACTCTTTGATGTATACAGGTAAGCTACTGCGGAAGGGTCAGTCCACTATTTATACTTTATCACACATACTCATTGTAAAATGAAATGTGATCCTTTCCCCATTCACAGCTACCCACTCATAAATCTATAACGGTAAGACAAAGTTTATAAAGAAATAGTATGATGATAAAACTATCGGTAAACCCAAAACTTATTTTATCATAAGTATTATCTAAAATTACTTTATCGTAAAAGTAGTAGTATTAGTTGCTATAGAAATAGTATTTATTTCACTCTGAAACATAGTGCCACTACTTTATTTTTTAAATAATTTCGCAGAAAGGAAATGAGAGATAGAAACATTAGTGATGAGAGAGAATCATCAATCGATTGACTCCTGCACGCCCCCTACTGGGGATCAAGCCCAAAACCCAAGCATGTGCCCTGACCAGAAGTCAAACCATTATCTCCTGGTTCATGTTATGATGCTTAACCACTGACCTATACCGGCCAGGCTAATGCCACCACTCTAAATGAATGTAAGCTATCCCTAGCTAGTTTGGCTCAGTGGATAGAGTATTGATGTGCAAACTGAAGGGTCCCAAGTTTGATTCCAGTCAAGGGCACATGCCTGGGTTATGGGTTCTATCACCAGTACAGGGTGTACAGGAGGCAGCTAATCCATGATTCTCTATCATCAATGATGTTTCTCTCTCTCTCCCCCTTTCCCTTCTTCTCTGAAATCAATAAAAATATATAAACATAAATAAATGAATGTAAGCTGAACAAAATTTTGTAGTGTCCTATATAATCACGACCTTGTGATTATGCTGTAAATTACGATTAAACTTCGCATAGTATAAATAATTTAATCATCTTATTCATTATAAATCTCATTATGAACAGTTAAGTTATAAGAAAAAGAAATCTCTACAGCAATAAGATGGGAAATAAAAACCATAATTGTCCACTAAAAAAAAAAGTAGGTCATCTAGAAACCAAGCTAAAAAACTAGAAAACCGTATTTCTATCACCAAAGTAGGTTAGATCTACACTCTAACTTGGTTGTAACAAGGCCATTGCTTCTTTATGACCAACACCACAGACTAATCACTGGTTATCAGGAATATAGACTCAGCAAGAAAAAGCACCTCACGTAGCTATGATTATAAAAGATGATTCAGTAAACCTCAGTGTAAACACAGTGAGGCCTTATGAACTGACTATTACCACTGAACAACCCATGGTCACTTGCTGAAGGGCTACGGTGACTATACTTATACAGCCCATATCTTTATTTATTTATTGATTGATTGATTGATTGATTGATTTTTACAGAGAGGAAGGGAGAGAGACAGAGAGCTAGAAACGTCAATGAGAGAGAAACATCGACCAGCTGCCTCTTGCACACCCCCTATTGGGGATGTGCCTGCAACCAACGTACATGCCCTTGACCGGAATCGAACCCGGGACCTTTCAGTCCGCAGACTGACGCTCTCCCACTGAGCCAAACCGGTTTTGGCCAGTCCATATCTTTAAAACGGAGAAAGACACTAGTCAAATTACTGGAAGGAGAATATTTACCAAATTATAAGAAACAAGCCTCGAGAAATTTAAAAGAATCATGTAATAACAACATAGAACAATATAACTAAAATGTAAACTGACGCCATCACTAATGTTTGCGTGGGCTTAGAAATATTTCTTAGGTAATCATGAAGGCCCACTCTCTAGAAGGTAACACTTATATTTACTTAATTCATGTAAAAAGGGTACACTTTTTAAAACTTGTAATTGCAACCAGACTTTTCCCAATATTTAATATAAATGGTTAGGTTTTACTATACACATCTAATCTTAAATGTAACTACATAGGTATTTGTTTTTTTTAAAGACTTAGTATTAGCAGTAACAATAAAAACTACTATGTTCTACGACTTTTCTCCACACTGCAGAATGACAATAAAACACTAACTCACACTTTTAAAACTATTCCATTTACCTACACATGAAAGAATTGCATAAATATAAAGCTAAGTCAATAATTAGTATATTATAAATTTAGAAGTAATTGGTAATTTTCAAATCTGCCAATGTATGCACAAAAACCACATAACCAGAGAAACTCCTCTTGCTATTTGTTTTGAAAATTCTAACCAAGTGAGAATCCATTTGATGTACACATGGGACTCAAGAGCAATCTCCTTTATTACTGAAATGGAAAGGAATATTAACAACAAGCAAATGCCAAACAATAAAAGTAAAATTTGGGGGAAAACTTACTTTGAAAAGTACAAAAACAAAAACAAAAAAACCCTCAGAAAGTTAAATAAAGCCAGTTTTAAAAAGGACTCCTAGATCCAGTTTGAAGGAGCTCAGTCTTTGGGTTTAATTCCAATTTTTAGATTTCACATATAAGTGATATCATACATTGTTTGTCTTTCTCTGTCTGATTTATCTCACTTAGCATAATGCCCTCAAGGTCAATTCATGTTATTGCAAATGGTAGAATTTCCTTCTTTCCCATGTCCCAATAATATTCCATTGTACACATATATATACCACATCTTTAGCTACTGGCAGACACTTACATTATTTCCATATCTTGGCTATTGTGAATAAGATTGCAATAAATGTGAGTGTATATATCTCTTCAATATATTTTCATTACCTTTGAATACATTATACCCAGGAGTGAGAATGCTAGGTCATATGGTAGTTCTTTTAATTTTTTGAGGGACCTCCAAAATTCAAGAAGTGGTTAAAACACTTTGAGAGAATGATTACTTAAAATAATCAGTCTATCACTTTAAGAGATGAATCTTCCGCTAAATAAATCATCCCCCAAATGAACTCTTATACAATTTTTCACTGGAGACCATAATAGAATGACAGACTATAAGACATTTGAAATCAGAAAAAAAGCTGTCTGGCTCATTATAGATAAACAAACC